ATTTTTAGAGAAGAGGATAAGGGGCACGGGGGGAAAAAGAAAAAAGAACTTTTTCAGTGAAAAAAAGAAAAAAAAAAAAAAAAAAAAATCAGAATTCTGAGTCAAAATTCTCAGAAAAAATTAAATTCTCAGATTAAGGTCAAAATTCTTAGATCAAAGTCCAAATTCTGAATAAAAAAATAATAACAATAAAAATCTGAGATTAAAGTCAAATTCTGAGAAAATGTCAAAATTAAACAAATACAGACAAAATTCTGAAATTGTCAGAATAATTAAAGTCCCATTTCTGTCTTTTTCTTTCCTGAAGTTTTAATCCTGTTTTGTAAAATTTTGTGTTCAAATATCTGTCGTTGAACCACAAACCTGAGCAGTTTTGATCGGCCTTGATTATTTCTTCCACATGACCAAAAAACTCCTGAAATCCCAAATTTTTAAAAATAAATTCCTTTAAACGAAAACATCCAGGCTGAATGTTTTACTTATTACTTTAAATCAAACTGTGATGAAACACTGCGTCCATCAGAGCAGAAAACGCCGTTTCTGGTTTTGTTTTTGTTTGGGTTCCCGTCGAGCCTCCAGCGAACCGGGCGGCCATGTTTCATCTGTGACGTCAGCGGCGGCGGCGGCCCACACAGACGCGCTCACTCACTGGAGTTGAGGAGGATCATGGCCTTGAGGCAGACGTACTCCTCCCTCGTCAGCTTGAGCTCTCTCACTCTGGACGTGGCGGCGATCAGCATGTCAAAGATCTCGGCGAAGCCCTGGACGCAGCTGCCCTCCTCCCTGCCACACACACACACACACACACACACACATCCTGCTGCAAACCCTGATGCACAAACAGTTCAGGAAAATTCATCAGAGCCAGACGACAAAATCCAGAGGAAAAGTCAGACGGCCTGCAGAAAACGCGATCAGAGCCGTTTTAAATAATCAACAATGAAAGTAAATTGTTTGCAGTGTTGTGTCTGCATGTCTGCACAAATATGACAATAAGATTAATGTGCAGTTTGCGTCGACTCATCACTGCAAAAACACAAAATCTTACCAAGTATTTTTGGTTTAGTTTGGTGCAAATATCTTAGTTCACTTGAAATGAGATAAAACTAACTGAAGTAACTTTCCAGCAAGAAATAGGAGCTTAAGTCAATAATTAGTTAATATTAGTAAGAAGAGGACGTAAAACTAGATAAAAGAAATACTTTGTGAGATTTTGTCTTTTTGCAGCACGGAAATGTCAAATGTCAATTTTAAATCTTTCAAACTAAAAATTCCATGTTTTCTTTCTCTAAAATTTCTAAGATTGATCAAAATTTGAGTTTTGTAGCAAATTATTTTTGTCTAGTTTTAATGCAAATATCTTGAAATAAGACAAAGTTAACTTATATTTAGCTTTTTTAGCAAGACAGAATAATTCCTTAAATTCAGCTTTCACACGCAGATTATTTCCCTTACAATTCGAGAAAAATGTTAAGTGAAATAATCTGGCAGCAAAACATTGTTATAAATTAAAACAATGTTACAAAATATCAGTATTTGTATTTTTACTGATATTTAAAAAAACCACAAACGTATACTTCAGAAATTTAAAACAAAAAAAGCCACAACAAAATTTAAAGAAGAAATGTTTCCATCAATGAAAACAAAATTTATAAAAATAAGACAGAAAATATATTTTATTTATCTACATTAAATTAGTGGAACTATTATTTTTTGCCAATATTAAATCAATAATTGACTCAAAAAAGCTCCTATTTTTTATTTCAAGTTACTTGCGAGTTAATTATTTATTATTATTTCATTTTTCTAAGATATATGCACTAAAAAACAGAACAAAAATACTTTGTAAGATTTAGTTGTCTTGCAGTGTGGGTGCACAAATTTAAATCAGTTTTTCTCTAATCAATACAGGATCAAACATACTGATCAGAAATAATTGTGATAAATCTATTCCTGGAATAATCTTCAACTAATTTAGTAATTAATCGACTCAAATCAGGACATTTTGTAGTAATTAATCCAAAACTGTGTGAAAAATATACAAAATTTGAATTTTAGATTTTTTTAAAAAATGTTTATTTTCTTATTTAAAAATGAATCAAGTTGTTTATTTGGATATTTAATGCATTTTTAATATTGTATAAATGAAAAATCTGCAGATTGAGTCCAACTTTTACCCCATTACTTGTACGAATAATCGGTAGATGAATCCATCGCTCAAATAACCGTTAAATATAAACGCACCGCCTGAAACGTGGTTAAATGTCCTCCAACACGTCGCGTCTGAACAATAAGTCGTTTTTCTTTTTGGTGGCTGCTTGTGTAATTGTTCTGGTTCCTCAGGCAGAACGCCTCGTTTCCTGGCATCCATCTTTGCTTTCATTCATTCCCCGCTCAAAAGCTTCGGGGATGGCATTTACAGAGGCTAAACTTTGACTCGCCGTCGGGAAGAGGTTTTGTTTTTCAGGATGTAGATTATGCGTTTGGAATTGCGCAATAAAATCAGGCGATAAACGTCGAGATCAAAGCGGCGGCGGTACCGGCTCAGGCAGAGGTCGGGGGAGAAGATGAGTTTCCCCGGATGGTCCACGGATCTCCACATCAGCCCCATCATCAGAACCTCCAGCCAGCAGCACTCCAGCAGATGGACCTGGTCCAGCAGACAGAGCTCCACGAAGCCTGAGGAGGAAAACGATGACCGAGGTCCGAGTCAAAACTGATCCCGAACCTCCAGCATAAAGATGTCGGTAAACAGAAGAGAATCTAAAGGTCGCATCGAATTCACAGAATCAGAGCCGTTTGGTAAGAAGAGACCAAAGTCAGGCATCGCGGTTAAAACTCAGGAAATTAGTGGTCGGTTGGAGTCGGAGCTTTATCTGATTGATCTTTGTTTAGTTTGGCTTTGGGGCAGTTTGGATGATGAGGAGGAGAAAAATCAGAAATCTGAGACCACATGACGAAATTCTGAGAAAATTTCAGATGAAGAGTCAGAAAGTTGAGAGCAGTTGTCGACTGTGTTCAGTGACTTTGCATTTTATGACGTAAAGCTCTTGTTGCTCAAAGGCGCTTTGCAAAATAACATTTCATTTGGTTTTGAGCAAAGTCAGAATTTAGTGAAAAGTCGTAATCCTGAGACTAAAGTCAGATTTATTAGTTTTTTTAATGAATCTGACGGATTCTGTGAAGGATTGTCCACAACGTGCCGAGGTCGTCGAACGCCTCCGAGTCTGAAGGGAAAATACTCCGGCTGCTTCACAAAAGAAGAAGAAGAAAAAAAAGCCAGACTCATTTTACAAACTGGTTTGTTTTGGCTCATTTACAGCGTTTGCTGGATTTTTACTGACATCAGCTGTAAAAAGGTGACGAGTCATTAAATTTCAGCCTGAGAGAGTCTGATCTGATAAAACATTCGCTCAGCTTTAGGTTTCAATTTCAGCAGACGGGTTTCCACGCTGCATGAAGCAGAGACAGCGGCCGCCATGTTCACCAGACGGTTTCATCGCCGACGGCAGATCTGAGCTCATGAAGACGTTTTATAACATCAGACCAGATAAAAACTAATTACAAACCACAGGCTCTCCATTTACATAGAAACGATTTAATTTACAGGATTCACTTATTTTTTCATTGTTGTAAAAATTATGAGAATAAAAGATTTAATTTTATAAAATATTTTGCTGCTGTAGCAGATTAATTTTGCTCGTTTACATCAGATATACGAAGATCTGATAAATATCTGTTTGTTCCTGCTAGATTGGCTAATCTACAGCAGCACTGAAGAATCTGAATTAATACGAGTTACATTTCATTTCCTTTGGGATCAATAACGTTTTTGATACATGACATTTTAAATTCCTAATTGCATTTTCTGAACCAACTGGAAAAGGGTTTTTTTGTAGTTTTTTTTACGTTTGATGAAAGTATTCAGCCTATTTATTTGTAATTAATTTTTTAAAAATATAATCACATAAAAAAGACAAAAATAAAAACTGACTAAATCTATTTTTGTCAGTTTCTTATACTTTACTCCTAATTGCACCAAATGAACAAATTAAAGTAGTTTTTAATTTTCAAGGATTTTTACCGTCACACCACTTTTGCTTGTTTTTGGTATAAAATTCAGATTCGGGTCCCAGATTAAGACGTTTAATACACAAATAAAACATTTTAATTAAATGTGCTGTGCTGGTGCAAAATTACCAAATAAATTTATAATTCAGTCCATTGATGTCCGTCTAAAAAAGGAAGGTCTTCAGTTTCTGATATCGGAACCAGAAGTGAAAAGTGGATCTGTGCGTCCCAAACTACGGGTCCCGGCCGCCGGCCCCTGTGCGCTCCGGTGGG